TCGTTAGCCATGATAAACTCTTATCAATTACATGAAAAAAAAAATACTTATGTCCTCTGCATATCAGAAAAGATTTTCAATCCATTTCCCAGTTGGAAAGTTTCCCAGTTGGATCCTAAGAGCTGTGACTTGACAGTAATAACACTAATATTAATATGGCAATAACTGGGACCAGGTAAGCCAAACCTATTCAGCACATTTATTTGCTGTTCAGTTTGCAGTTTATTCAGCTGTATTTCCATGTTTGACTTTCCACACTGTAGTTAGTAGGCTATAGCCTAGAGATTGTGAGATTATAATTTGGACAGTACAGCAGTAAATACAGCACCACATTCTTTCTCTGCTTAAACCATTAAATTCTGTAGGTCTGAGCTAATCACAGATTTGTATGCATTAAAAATGTGCACAAAACTGTGGGACAAATTGCTTCCTGTACTGATTCAGTACGGGGCAGAACATTTAATTTATCAATCTTGTATTGGGACAGGTGGCAACTGTATTTCCTGTGATTAGTACCAAACTACATCATTTTTTCCAGGATATTTTCAAAAGTATTTAGGAAAGAGCATATAGTTATTGGGCCAGTTACCCCAATAATCTCCATAGGCTTCATATACTGTATTAAAAAAAAAAAAAGATTTGTAAGAATGAAATGAAACAATGACCTACAGTAACTACCAATATAAGAATGAAGTTTATTTTTGCTTTTGAAAAGAGTAGTTGAACATTAATTATGCTCAGAACTCAAGGTCCACTGACCAGTTTATTTATTTATTTACTTATTTAGTTAGTTTTCTGGATGGTTTCATCAGCAGTCTTGTTATCTTGTGACCTAAAGTCCATCCTTAGGTTTTGGTATGCCTCACTTGTTTTTGGTCTCTGTGAGCCAATTCCCTCTGCTGATGAAGACAAGATGTTTGGGAAAAGCTCCAGAAAATATTAATAAGTAGACCTTGAGTTAAATTTATTTTGTCAAGTAATAAAAATAACACCCAAATTATAATGAATTGACATTTTACAAGGAAATATACTGTTTTAAATTGGTATAACATACCCTTTTCAAAGAAGATAGAAAATTAATGATGGCTGTTTTCAATTATCATGGTTTCTTGGATGTAATTAATAACAGCCAGGCTTTTCACCATGTGTCATGTGTGAAAATAATGTGTCCTTCCTCAGCATCATGAAGTTTCTGGTGTCAAAGAGGAGGTTCAAAGAGAGCTTGCGGCCTTATGATGTCATGGATGTGATTGAGCAGTACTCTGCAGGCCACCTGGACATGCTGTCTCGCATTAAGAATCTGCAGTCCAGGCAAGTGCACATTTAGTATAGCAGTATAGCTGAGCCAGTCTAAATCCGAGCCGCCTTTGTTTCTGAACCCGCTGTAAGCCAAAATATCAGAATGGGTATATAGAATATAAAGAGTTATTGCTTTAGTTCAATAAATACTTTGAATTCAGTATAATGGTAGAGATACAGTATGATTCAGTAATACAATGTTTGAGGTGTCGCTGGATACACAAGTCACTGATTTGCCTGTTTCATTTGTCCAGCTACATGTGCTGTATTCAGATCATAGTTTTATATCAGTTAACATTATCTATGAAAAGAGGTTTCATTCCTTAAGCTCTGAATGCATCACAAAATCATCTTAGATATAACATTGATAATTCGCATTGTTTTCTCTATTAGTCTCCCAGAAACAAGTTCCTGACATTTGATCCCCTTAAGGTCTAACATGTAGAGAAATATATTCCAACAGTGAAATGCATACACTTTTCATCCACTAAGAAAGTCAGACTCATTGTATGTATTGTGTGTGTGGAATATATTGAGACTTGTTCTCCATAGCTGATGTGATTCCCACGTTACTTCATTCTGCATTGCACTCATATCGTCTCTGTGTGCCTTGCCAGGATAGATATGATTGTCGGGCCCCCTCCCCCATCAACACCTCGCCATAAGAAGTCCACTGAAGGTCCTAGGTTAGGTTAATAGACTGCACCTCTAGAATGACGTTTTTACCAGCATTATGCTCCTTATACCACAGTCAAAGTATTGAAGCAGTTACATGCTACCTTATTGTTTTTGATTAGTGGAACCCCTGTTGAGTCGAAGCCAAGTGACCTGTCTCACTGAGCTAGAGGAAACATGATTTATGAAAGGAGTGTTAAAGATTAAATCAGCTGTTTGACAGCCACTTACTATAGGTGCAATGTTCTTTTAGCTCTCACATTATATCAGCTGCTATCAAGAAAAGACCAAAAAAGTGAGACATCCCATGGCTTTCTCACTAAATTTTAATGAGCCATGTCATATGGCCTCACTCACCGGGGGTGTGAAAGTGCTAGGTGCTTGCTCTTAATACTGGACAGACAGAGGGAGAGCTCCCCCAGTAGGATGTAATGGAAATGAAGCATGAAGCACAATAAAGGCATGCCAAGTGATGCATTTTGGCCCCAGGCAAAATGTCCCCTCTACTCACACTTTGTTTCATTAAAGACCATCTAATTTCATTATGCATGCATCCAAACCATCCACCTGAAATCAGTCCTTTTTCAGGTAACACTCAAATGTTAGGCCATCATTCAATCATTCAATTTATTTGTATCTTGAGAAGTATCATCCAAATAGATATGCTCTTTACTTATTTTCCATGTAAAACTAATTCACATTATGGCATCATGAACTTCTTAAGTAAAAACAAATTGTTAAACCCTTGCGTACAGAACAGAGTGTTTGTTTTTTTAATCCCAGATATTACCTTTCTCAAATGCTAGAGTTGACCAGATAGTTGGTAAAGGTCCTAAAGCTGAAGGAGAGGCTGCAGAGGACCAGAGCATGATGGGACGTCTGGTCAAAGTCGAAAAACAGGTAGGTTTGTTTTGCCCAGGTCTGTAAAAGTCCTGTGAGTTGGTAGCTGCTGAGATCAAATCACTAGAGTATATGTGAATTTTTTTTTTTTTTCTGATGATGATATATTTAAGTGAATTCTAGTAATGGAACACCATTTCTTCATTGTGGAATTTTCTTTTTCCTTGCAGGTGGTCTGTATGGACAGAAAACTTGATTTCCTGGTCCATGTGTACGTGCAGCGTATGGGCATCCCCCGTTCTGAAACAGAGGCCTTTTTCAACTCCAAAGAGCCGTATCCAGCCCCGCCTTACCACAGTCCAGAGGAGAGCAAGGAGGAGAAGGAGGGGAAAGAGGAGGTGAAGGAGGAAAAGGAAGTAAAAACATGCTCACCTGCAGATGTCCCATGCTCTGAGGGGTCTTTGGAAAAGAAGGATCCTTTACTGGGTCGTTCCATGGTAAGATCAGGTACTCCGTCTGGTAGCAACAGCCACCCCTCTACCTCCTGGCAGCATCAGCTGCAGCACCCCATCAGCCAGCCTGCTTGGAACAGCAGCGTAGCTAACACCCCTTCACCCGTCGGTGGTAGCTATGATCACTCACCCACCCTGTTCCGCCTTCCACCTCCACCTGCTCCGGTTCACGACCGCTCCTCGTCTGGCCCAGGTGGCAGCGGCAGAGAGAGTGGCTCCCAGAGCAGGAGACGCCATAGGAGGCAGAGGTGTAACCAGGATGCCACAGCTGTAGAGAGTGACACATCCATCTCCATTCCATCTGTTGATCACGAGGAGCTGGAGCGCTCCTTCAGTGGCTTCAGCATCTCCCAGGCCAAGGAGGACTTCTTTGGGCCTTCGTTCTTCACAGGCTCAGGTGGGGGTGTGGGAGCGGGGACTGAAGCTGGAGCTGCACCGTCGCTCTGTGCCAGGGTCAGACCCTTCATAGCAGAGGGCGAATCAGACACAGACTCTGACCTCTTCGCTCCCTCGCCTCTGTCCTTCACTGGAGAGGTCTCAGGCGGAGAGAGGGGATGGCCAGGACTGAAGTAGGTCGGGGAGGACTGCTCTGCCTGGTGCTTCAGTTACCAGCAGGAGACCTTTCATGAGACTGTGTAGCCAACTTGACTGACTGTTGTTGCTGATGATGCCCTCACAGCCTATTTTTACCCTTTATTTGACTCCTTTCACCCTTTATCACCTTTTATGTTTGCGATGTGATGCTTTACAAGCAATGCTAACTTACACTTGCATTGTATTCATCATGGTCTTGTTTAAACTGAAAAATAGCTGTTTAGGGACGTTGACATTTTTATTGTGTTTGTTAGTAATGAAAGGTACATGTGTGAGATTGTGATGTATGGCACATGATTTTGCATCAAACATATAATTAACACTGATTTGTATCAAACAAATTAGAAAACATCACTGCATTTCTGCCCTTCTGTTAAACACGGATCACTTTGAAAACAGTTGGAGTTAGCAACACAAGAGTCTTATCACGTGGTTAGCATAGTTTCTTGAAAACCTCTATACCTTTGAATGACTTCAGGTGTTATGATGCCAAAATCTTAGTTATGATAATAAATTTGATTCTTGCAGAGTAAAAAAAAAGAAAAAAGCTTGCTTTTCAGCATTATTAATTCAGCCTGGTGTTTACTGATACCACAAAAGAACTCCCGTCACACTATTGCAGATACTTCCCCATCAGTAAATCAATGAGCCTCCTGCATGGCATGTTAAATGGTTGTTTTAAGGGCAGTGTTAAGCAGGTTCCAAAACCAAACAGCAGCAGCAAAAGTTAGCAGAACAGTTAGGGATGTGTTTTGCTTTGAAAAGACAAACAGAGCTGTGAATAGAACATGAAACTGTGCATGCATGACTTGGTTTCAAGCTAAAATGTGTTATTTTTTTTAAAGAGCTCTGCTTGAATTCCAATCATGTAGATGCAGCCTGGATTTGCTAATTTTAATTGCTCTTCTTTTCTGGACAAATTAAAGGATGTACCCATCAAATACAAAGCCACATTCTGTTTAATGCCACATACTAAATGTATGGAAACAATATGGGCTCAGAGGACAGTAGTGCATACATTTTGTATTGTCACAAACGCGCAGCATTATGGCAAGTAGGACCAAGTGCATCATAAGAGACACTTATTACTCAGACATGGTATTTAGCCTGCAATGCATTGGTCAGTCATTTAGATTCTATGCTGCTATGTCAGCTCTGCACCAAATGAGAAAATGCAATAAAATTCAAGCAAGACACTCAAGTATCATCTTTTACAATCGTGAACATGGCCTTATTTTTTCACATCAAAATCCATTTAGGTAATTAGTTAAACAAATCAACAGTTTTGTTCTTAACATTTCATAAAAGTAATGTGAATACATTCTGAAGTGTCATTCAGGAGGTTTTGTGGCCTGAGAGCGGAATGCTAAAAGGCTAAAATGGGAGTCACAGGGACATGTGACACATGAGCAGTCGTTGTAGAAACCAACTACAGTCACAGCAAATCAGCTTTGACATTTTAACATTAACACTAAAACAGCAGACTGTTCACACACAATCCATATTTTTCAAAAAAGAAGAAACAAACTGCTGGCATGTTTTCTACAACCCAGAGAAAGGGACTGTGCAGTTTCACATCATGCAGTAACCAGTTCAGCACACGTCATGTAACTGCACCTTCTTCTAACACTTCTTCAACAATAAAACTTTGTACATGACTGAAAGTCATCTCTTTGGCCTTCTTTGTAATGCATTGTACCAGTAAAGCAATGTCACATGTTGAGCAGTGAAACGTGTTAGCAGTATGATGTAATAGTGGCCACGTTTCACTAGATGGCAGGCAAGACCCTCATTTGAGTTGTAGGTTGTTGAAATGTGTGAGGTTGAAGCATGGGGTGCCCATTTTCTAGAGACAGTAGCCACTGTAGCAAATTTTCTCCAAACGAATGTGTCTTTACTCTGCGAGATCACTTTGTAACCCTTTCCAGCTGATACATAAGTCTTCTGAGATCTCTGTTTTGTGAAGCATGGTGCCCATCAGCAGGAGATGCTTTTTGCTAATACTGTAGCAAACTCAAAATGTTTGAATGTTTTTTGTTTGTTTTTTTTAAGCCAGAGTAGGTCTATCTCACACTCTCAGTGTTGTTTGATTGAATGGATGCCAGGTTTGCTAACTCCTGATTCCATTTAGCTGTCATTAGGATGTGCACATTGGTGCGGTGGTTAGCACTGTCAACTCAGAACAAGAAGGTTCTGGGTTACAATCTGCTAACTGGCTCAGGCCTTCCTATGTGGAGTTTCAGATTGTGATACCTGCAAAAGCTTCCCACATGATTTTGGATTGGAAAAGGTTTGTTCTCATTGAGCCACATGAGCATTAGGGAGCTCTGCTACTAACATGGGCAATAAGCTTCACACACAGTTTTACAGGTTCATTCCAAAGGTGTTGGTTATGGTTGAGTTCCAGGCTCTGTGCAGACCAGTCAAGTTCCTCTGTACCAAACTTCAAAAGTCATTTCTTTTCAAACCTTGCTAAGTAAAAGCCCACCCTCAAAATGCTGCAACAGAGTTGGAAGCACTTTATTAATCTATGGTATTATTGTGTGCTTTCTAAGTTTTTTCAGTTTACTATGACCTGGATGACTGAGAATCTGCACAGACATATTGTGTGCTATGACATTAAGTTTTCCTTTAATTGATACTAAGGGGCCTAACGTAAAGTAATAAAAAAAGGCCCTAAGCTAAAGGTCCACAAAAGCATGTGGCCTGTCCACATGTAAATTAAGCTGTTGCGACTCTGTTTGTCTGTATTCATCATTGTGTCAGCGAATTTGTTAAGTGTTTTGATGCCAGGACTTGGGTTGGGTGATTCAAACAGGAACTGATTGGCTCATTAATAAAAGTCAAATGATGGTGACACAACACCTAAGGCTTATTTACTCTCTGTAGCACCTGGAATATTTAAGCTGTCTTTACCACCCATAGCACAGACCAGAGGACAAACAACCAGCAGAGACAACGATCTGAGACTGAATTTCTACTGCAGTGAATATCTCTGCTTGGAATAAAAAAAGTACAACAACAATGTACCAAGAACAGACCCAGAGTTTTGCTGTGAAAAATTGGAATGTTTCCACAGGGTTGCTACTTTTTTGCATGAGTGCAGTGATTATGCCATTCAGTTTGTTTGATCAGTCTACAAAATGACATTTATTCAAAAATGACAGCTTTGTGTTTAAATTGTGCCATTAGACAGAAGTGGGCCACTGACCCTTTGCTAATGAATAATAAGAGTCAATCATTAGGGGCATAAAAAAAACAATGTTCTGTATCCATTTTCATAATGGTTTATGTGCTGACATGTTTCACAGCTGAGTACAATGTCAGGAGTGCAATAAAAATGTAGTTTCCCCAGTAGCCTCACTGTGCTCATTAAATCTTCTTCAACCTTTTCAGCTTTTCATAAGAGTAAATGACACCGATACACTCTGAACTGTACTTCAAATTAATAAATAAATCATCATGCTGATCAAATATAAAGCCTTAATTTGCCAGAGATTACTTTCTACATTTACAGCTGAGAGGAAGAAATGACTCTGTCCTTGGCACCAGCTGTGTTTGTGTACAGCTCTGACCTGCTGGTCACTATGTAAACATTTTATTTATGTACCTTGTTAGTTAACATCAGCAAAATGCCATCAATGTCCACCAAGGGCAGACACAGGTGACCTTCTTTTCTCTCTCTGTAACACACACACCTACATGTACTTCTATCTTTGTGAGGACAACCATTGACATAATAATGCATTCCCTAGCCCCTTACCCTAACACTTAACTCAGAACTAGCTTAGATGCCTAACACCTAACCTGAACCCTAAACCAAGTCTTAACACTTAAAAAAGTGTTTCTCAAAGTGAGGACTGGACAAAATGTCCTCACTTTCCAAAAAAAAACAATAAAAAACTTCTTTGGTCCTCACTATATAGCAAGTACAAGAACACACACACACACTTTGAAAGACACCTGTATCCATAATGACAGTGGGGGTTAGGATTAACAATGGTGTAAATAATAACAGTGACCATGTATCACCACACTGGCACCATGTCAGACAAAGGCTTTGCAAAAAGGCAAGGGTGATCCTCCCTATGGTCCTCCATGGTTGTCATCTTCATAACCCCAAAAAAGATGTAATAAACTGGGGAAAAATAAATTCATACTGTGGTAGTGGGAATAGGGCAGGACCCAATGAAGATGTCTGGAGACTGAAGAGTAGCT